ATTTGATGAGGGACTTTCCCTTTTGAATTTTCTTTGGAGTTCAGTATTTTTGTTAGTTTTCTTTTTATAGATTTTAGCATTTTCATTTGAATGATCTTCAAAATGCTAAAGATACAGGCATTATTTTTTGCGAATTGTTTTTCAAAGGACTAAGTAGCACAATAATGAGCCACAATGCATAAAGTAACAGAAAAAATGTCACAAATCAGTTTTGAGAAATTGTTCCATGATTTACAAACAACTTATTTTTAATCTTTAGTTTAATGGGTAAAAAGTCACAAATCTGAAGTGGGACCTCAATATCGTTCAAGACCGAGATGTTAATTTTTTTTGAAAAATGACCAAAATATCGTCCTCCATCTAAAATAGATTGGAAACGGTGTCGTCAGGTCACAAAAGACACTCTTTTATCGTATTGTAAACATTGGTGTAAACGAGAAAATCTGATAAAAAATCTCTTGATTCTTATTTAAATAAATGTATGAATGTTGTGGATATTCGAATATCACATTTCGAAAATGATTCAGAAATAAATATAAGAGTACATAATACGCCTATTTCTAGAATAAGAAACAAACTTCAAGTACTTTCAAAGCGGTTTGTGTTTGTACCGGCCGACAAAGCAGCCAACATTGTGGTGGTGGTATGCCGTAAATACTACACGGACGTTCTTAAGAATGAAATTTTAAATTCATCTACATTCAAGTCCGTGCGCTCCACAGAGACTCATATAGTAAACAATCATATTATAACCACATCACAGCTTAAGGTTCTTCTGAACATTTGAAGGTCCCTTCTATGTATTGGTTACTTAAACTACTAAAAAAAACCAGTAAAATATCGTTTCATTTCGGCCTCTATTAAGTGTTCTACAACTAATCTTTCAGTGCTTTTAACTAATTCCTTAACTACTATCAAAGAACTTATCATTAACTTTTGTGATAAAATATATGAAAATAGTGGAATTAACTTTTTTTGGAGTGTAAAAAATTCTTTGGATGTTTTAGATAAATTATGTGCTCTTGATGGTCCTTTTGATTCTGTTGACAGCTTTGAATTTTCAACTCTTTACACTACACTTCCACACAATCTTATCAAACAAAAGTTTTCCTATTTAAATGGTCGTTTGGTAAATCTGAATGCCTTCTTCTCTAATGAGAAAGGTAAATATGCTAGATATACTTACTGGAGGTGTGATGAGATGATTGAAGCTGTTAATTTTCTCCTTGATAATATTTATGTACGTTTCGGCAATAAAGTTTATCGACAGGTATTCCTATGGGCACCAATTGCGCCCCTTTAATAGCAGACTGGTTCGTGCACTGTTATGAATCACAGTTTATGACCAAACTCAGTAAAGACCCGTCTAAATTGCATTTAATTGATAAATTCAACAACACTTACCGTTATCTTGATGATATTTTTTCGTTAAATAATCAAGAATTTTCTAAAGATACTGCCGAAATTTACCCAAATGAACTTACTTTAAATAAATCAAATATAAACAGTAATAACTATCCTTTCCTAGATTTAGATATTTCAGTCTTACACGGGAAACTCTTCACCAAAATTTACGACAAAAGGGACGATATTGATTTTGTTATCATTAAATTAAAATGAAACTAAATATTATTGTTATATACATATGTACATTCATGGCTCTACAATCTGTCGATACCTGTATCTTGGAATTGCACAAGGTCATGCTTTTCTCTGACTGTTCATGACGTCTTTAAACTAAATTCATTGGATGTTGGATGTGTACTGATTGATAATTTAGTCTTACATGCATGATTTTTTTTATTAGTTGTTATTGGCTTTGAACTAGCTGTCAGTAACTGCAAGTACTCTCAGATCTGTGCTAATTGTCTTTTTGTTGTGGGGATCTACAAGTACCCGTCCACGTCCACTTTGTGTTTTTGTTAGATGTATTTCTATCTATATCCATCTGATGAGTTAAGCCTTTTTCAACTGATTTTTATAGTTTGTTCTTATGTTGTACTGTTACACCACTGTCCCAGGTTAGGAGGAGGGTTGGCGCCTTCAAACTAGTTTAATCCCGCCACATTCTGTATGTGCCTGTCCCAAGTCAGGAACCTTTAATTCAGTGGTTGTCGTTTTTTGCTTTGTTACATTTTTGTTTTTTTTTTTGGTCTTTTTTTTGTACATAATTAGGCCGTTAGTTTTCTCGTTTGAATTGTTTTTCATTTGTCATTTCGGGGCCTTTTATAGCTGACTATGCGGTATGAGCTTATGTTCATTGTTGAAGGCCGTACGGTGACCTATAGTTGTCAATTTCTGTGTTATTTGGTCTATTGTGGAGAGTTGTCTCATTGGCAATCATACCACATCTTCTATTTTTATATAGTAGGTAAAAATGTCAAAAATTGGGGTACATCAGTTAACATTGTAATATGGTCTTATTCGCTTTACAAATAAAAACAAAATGTATAGACACTCCACAGACAAAGTATATAAGCAAAAATGAAAGACAAGAATACAAAATTGACCATAGCACAATAACACAATGGCGGGAAGTATAAGTACCAAGCCACGCCAAAAGTACATTACCAAAAATGGACCAAACAGTAAAGGTTAAAAATTTACAAGGACAAATAAAAAGAAAAATCTTGATTACTTACATAAAATATAGCATCTAAAAATCTGCTCGTATACAGCTTAAGATATTAACCAAGTTGTGTTGTGTTGGGTCATTACGAAGTCTTGATAGAAATATGATCCATAACAATAAAGAAATGAGTGTGCCGTATGAGTGGCAGAGTAAGTTCCCATCGGAATACCAATCACATGCCGTTACATTTTATCTCCCAAAATGACTTTAATTATTTGTTTGCATGTCCAGTTTGTTGATTATTTTTGTAGATTTTATCACTAAAAAGGAAATGTAACGACTGCAACAAATATTGTTGCAACCAGATTTATCAAAATACCATTTCATTAAATGTAGTCTAGGTCTCGATATCTCTTCACGTGTTTAGGTCTCGATATCTCTTCACGTGTTTAGGTCTCGATATCTCTTCACGTGTTTAGGTCTCAATATATCTTCACGTGTTTAGGTCTAGATATCTCTTCACGTGTTTAGGTCTTACATCCTTGACTCTCACATATTTGGGTCTGATCGTTCCTGATGAATGTAAATCCAGAAAAGCGCTGCGAACCCAAGACATCAATAACGTGTTATTTATATTTAGTAAGATTGTGTGCTTGTATAGCATAAAGGGTAGAGAAGCTATAACGGTCGTAGAAGGCAAATTGACCTTCAAAGAATCTTCACTTACCTAAGACTTTCAAAGAGTTTTTTATACTCTGAAAAAGGTGGTCTTATTCCAGTTTTTCACAATGTGTTACTTATAGCCATTTAAAAAAAACAATTGTACCACTCAAATGACAATCTATGTTGCCATTTAAATTGATATGTAAGCCTGGAAAACAGATAATTAGCCTTGAGAATTGAAAGATCATATCTTTTTATTAGAACGATTTTGTATGAAGTTATTTTCGAAATGTTTTATAAAGAACGATATACGATCGGGTCGTCCAGATTTTCTACTACTAAACATCTTTTTCAAGTTCTACAACCATTTTTCTATTCATAGTAAAATATAGCTTTCCGAAAAATTGCGATGAGGAATATTCAACCAACGGTGACAATCAGATATGGATTCTTTGAATTTATAAAGATTTACTGCAAAATCTTCATTACTAATCGTTACAATTTTGCAGTATAATGATTTTTTTTTATATGTGTACGCTACTATTCCCCATAAAAAAGAAGAGAGAAATCATCGGAGAAACAAATTTCTTGTTTAAAGTCATGAAAAATCTTACTGTGATTAAAAATCCAAATTTAAAATCCAAAATTACAGGATTGTTACCAAATTTGATAATAAACATTAAAAACATAACACACAAACACATATCTATTAACATTTAAAAAAAAATATATATATATCTATATATCCCCTAAATTACTATATAAAAAAAGAAAATATTACTGTCTGAAAAACCACACTGATTCCAAAAACAATAACACAGAAGATGATATCATCCAAATCCTCGACTTTCTGATCGACAACATATTTGTTGAGTTCGGTGGATTGATATTTCAACAGACAGTCGATATTCCAATGGGTACTTATAATTCACCTCTATTTGCCGACTTTTTTTTTACTCATATGAAGCAGAATTCAGATCCGTATCAAATTCAAGAAGGAAAAACATCTTTCAAGGTTCTTTTACTTCACTTTCAAGTATATTGATTATGTCCTGTTAATCATGTTTTTGCGGTCTTAGATCTTTAAATACCAGAATTATCATCTTATCTGTTAATTTACCGAGTGTGTCCTATTCCCGTTTGTGACATTTCAACTGAGTGCAGATTCGTATGGCGTGTGATGCATGCATAGCAGGAGACGCTTACCGACTGTCATACAAGTGAGAGGTTTAGCTAGCTATTAAACCAGGTTTAATCCACCATTTTCTACATAAGGAAATGCCTGTACCAAGTCAAGGGACTGTCCGTTTTGAATTTTCCTTGGAGTTCGATATTTTTGTTATTTTACTTTTTACCATGCCGATGTACCTGGTCTCGTTCCTTTTTGAGTTCATGCGATTCCTATCTTACGCTTTCCATATACACTGCCGAGCTCTTTACCGGTTTCGTAGAAGTAAATCAACTATTTCGTCAAATTTTCGTATATTTTTATATTTGGTCGACGAGAGTTATAGGGACTCGTAGTTGGACCTTCTGGAAGCTTTGCAATCCTGCTCAGTTCAAATCTCGTGAAATTTAAAGGTATATGAGTACAGCCACGAGAAAGAACGTTGAGAGTGATAACTTTGTATCTGATATCGTATTTTATAATGTTAAAGTGGTCTTCATCTTAAAAAATGCTGTCAGATTATCAAATTTTAACGAATTTGTCACATATAAAGCATTTTAAGTATGAAAGAAAATGTGAAAAATAAAAAAGGTCATCTAAATAACAAGTGAAGTTCCTTTATTTATATTAAAGCATTTCAGAATGTCGTAGGTATTCTTAGTTTGTACACTTTGTTATGTAGCAATTTATACTGCATAAGAACGCGCTTTATATCTTATCGCAGATGTGTTCAAACTTCTACACTGTGTGAATATCTTATAAGTCTCATTGTAGATACTCATATTGACGGCGTCTTATTTTTTTAACAAACGACATCTCACCCATGTTTAGATATTCACAATCTATTTGAGTAACTGCAAATGCCTTAGACCACCTAGAAGTTTCGACATAATAACCTTTACTTTGATGTGCGTTAAAAATGCAGTAATCTTCCACTTCTTCACGTAGTCGATCAAAATATAACAATTCTAACTGAAAGTCTAGACCCTCCTTTTCAATCTGCAACCACAGTCGTCTATAAAAGAAGTTGTATAAGTCATAGTCTAACTTTGCAAATCTTTCATATAAATATCTGTTGGTATTGTCAACAAATTGATATGACTTCCGTGCTGCATTTTTCTTTAAATACAAGACATCCTTTATAGTCCATCCTAATATACGTCTCATCATAACTACAGACTCAGTGAAATATTCCATTATGATCACAAACTGGAATTCTTTATCCAGTGTCCTCAAATAGTCCATGCTTTCTTCTTCTGAATAATGGTAAAATAGATTTGATGGAAATCCGAATTCAAATGCCATTCTGTTGTTTGTCATTGACCAACGATGTGTTTTCTCAAAGTGACTAGGATCTTGAAGATACTTAAAAACTTTGTTTTCAGCCTTTATATTTTGCAATATATGAGCAGGCCTAAAATAATTCAAAGTCGACAAGAACTGATCAAACGGTTCGCGAACAATGGCTATATATGCTGTGTCAGTTGGCATATACTTATGAAAAGCTTCATTGTTATATAAAACATGGCAGCATAAAATATCAAATGTTCTATTTGGTGGTGGAGGAAGAATATTATCGTTATTCAAAGATGACTGTAAACTGATAACATTATCATATTGATTGTCTCGAATTCTCGAAATTACAAACGTGAGGTTGCGAGATTCACCGTAGCGTAGGAAAATGTTCTGCGCAGTTGTACTTCCTGCCTTGTGAACTTTTAGAAACGCAACTTTTTTGAAAAATTCTTTGCTCAATTCAATATTTTGTGTATCATTTATCGAGAGCGAACTACGTTTGGATAGTGTTGTAGGCCCGATAACCTCTTTGGTATGTTTCGTTGAATTGATATATAATTGATTGTTTGTTGTGTTTAACGAAGATTTGGCTATATGATTATAAGGTTCGATCTCATAGGTTTTATTCAAATGTTTATTCTGTTCATAGTTGTCTTGCACACCTGAACTCACATAACGAAGATATTTAGTTTCTCGTAGAAAGGCATATATTACCACCATAAGTACAGAAAATGAAATAATCTTTAATCTGAAATATAAAAAAAAAATCACATTTTAAAGGCGATATCTATTTCATGTATAGTTTTTATGAATGTTATGAATTTTTATTGAGAATCTTACTAAGATAAGCCCACACGAAAGTGTATATATCCCAATTTCTATATTGAATAAAAACAAAAAGAATCGATGAAACTCGTTCTGGGTATCTCACTACTGCTGTGTGTTAATTATTAATCTCACAGTAGACAACAGTAAATGAATTTTGGTCTTGAAATACAACATGGACCTGAACGCGATCTAAAATATTTGTTATTTTTCTACATACATTTTGTATTTTCCTCTTAGTTAAATATGTAAGAGTGTCCTTACCGCTAATTAAGATTTATTCAACAGGAAAACCTACTGAAAATAGACTGCAAACATCTAAATTGACAATAAGATACCAGACTTAAACTGATTATAATACTGAACTATGCAGATTAATTTTGAATGATCAAAGGATATCCCTGTTAAAAACCTGTTCATTTGTCACATTAAAAAAAATCTTTTGATCGCAAACAGGACAAATACTACAGCGAGTATTCAGCCCATGATTAATTGTTGGTTGCTTAAATAACTGTCAGTTGCAAGTTTTTGTATATAAAAATGGGAAGATAAAGTACACACTATGATAGTCAATGAGACATTTATCCATTAATATAAATTTTCAAAGAGAAAAACAACAGCTTAGTTCACCGTGTATAACGCCACAAGCGGGCTGTTGGCTATGTTTGACACCTGGTGGTGGTTTTGAAAAGAAGACAAACGATCAAGGTATCAAGTTTTCCATGTTTGAGAACTGTTAGCATCAATTGATGTATTGTACGGAAGGTACCGACTCATAATCTATTTCCAGCAAGCTGAAACAGATGTCCCCAGTGCACTGTTTTCTAAAAAAAAAAAACTTCTTTCGTCAGATTCTCAGGATAAAAACTACTTTTCGGCGACTTATTTCCGTATATTTATATAAAAATTAATTCAAATCATAGAATAAGACCAAATGCCAGCATCCCAGTCAAAATGTTTTTATGGAAATGTAAAGTGTCGCACGGGGTGTCAGATTTCGCATCTCACGGGGGTGAGACATTTATCAAAGCAAGGATAATTTTGCCTTTCATTCTGTCTTTTTCTACAAGTAAAAGTCATAACTGCATTGATAGATTAGAAAAACGTTTCGGTTAAATGTTTAACAGCCAATAACAATCCCAATCCCAAGAAGACAATGACCAATTTTCCAAAGACTCTTGTAGAACAAGATGTCAAATTTTGAAGTGGCAAACTGTTCTGCATTCCTGCTCTGATAGATTTTATTGATATGCCTAATCACTGGCCATGACTCTCCAATGTATTTTAACAAAATTTAGACGGCGGGAATCAAAACTGCTGACCCTTCCAGAGCAAGTGAGTTCACCCACGGGTTTTGGTGGAGTTCGTATTACTTTAGCTTAGTTTTTGTGAAGTGTTTAGTGCATGGACTGTTAGTCTTTTCTGTTTTTTTATTGGCATTGGTATCTGTTCCGTCCTTTTCTTTTCATCTTCCCTGAATTCCAAAGTTCATCGCCAATTTAAAGAGAAGTTTTGTGTAATTTTGAACAGTTGTTTGTCTGCCTGTTGAAGGTTTTAGGGCAATAGTTAACAGACCTAAATCGACCATTACACAATTTCAGCTTCTATCAGGAGTTAAATGATAATAGAACCATACTTACTTATAAGAGTTCATTACAATGTTTAATTCGTCAGTAAGACTTTTGAGATTTTCTTCGCCATGTTGTATAAGACGGATAATAAAACGATTAGAGCACCGAAATAGGGTTTCATCCCATTCGCGCATTAGGATATTAGACAATTCGCCTGGTGTTTGCTGCATGACTTTGAGGAGTAATCCGACCCTTTGTGAATGTTTTAATTGTTAATATTATATTGAAAATTAAATAATTCAGTTATAATTTGGTTTTTTGTTGTTTTTTTTTTAAATAATCTTTGTAGTTTATGTTAAATAAGATGGAAATTTTAATTCACTGCGATTATGTAAGTGACATAAACGAGCAAGCTGTTAGAACACAAAGCTAAAAATAAAAATAAACCATGTGTTCTGTCTTACTACTCATCTGTGTTAAAAGCCTTGGTTTCATTCAAGAGCATTGGAAAGCCTATGTTTCATACATTGTACAAGACCATTGGAAATCAGTTAAAAAAATACCAAACTGTATGTCCAAATCAAGAGGTTGTAATTCACTGTTTGTTTGTCCCGGTATATCATATTTGTATTTTCGTTTATTGTTCTGCACATAAATCAGGCCGTTAATTTTCTCGTTTAAATTTTTTTTACATTTGTTATTCGGGTCTCGAATAGCTTGCAAACGTGGCAAATACTGCACACAGATATAGCATTCAGCATCATTAGTCAGAAAGGCCACTTTAAAAAGTGTGCTGTAAAAGTTTTAAATGTTATTTACATTCTAGAATGTTTGGTATATGACCTCTAATATGTTGGTGGGTCAAAGCAGCCGATGCACAAATGCCTCAATGGGCATAGGAGCGATACATGAATATCACAAAGAAGCCATATCTCACAGTGAGCAAACACTTAAGACAGTTGACCAAAAACTCGATGACTTTCAACCACATGGAAATAGGGGTCGAACAGAACATTCATTGGAATGATTCCAAGCGAGATCTAGAGGATCGGGAAATATTATGGATAAAGGAACTTAATGATTTTCATATTGTATTATAGCTTTTGGAAAACACGATTGACACTGACGAAGTACATTTGTAGTGCCAACATAATAAAAGTTCGTCTTATTTGAACATAATTATCTTCTAAAAGTAAATTATATAGTTGTTACAGTATGTAATTTTGTATTTAGAAATGATACCAGTTGAGTACATTTTTGAAATATAATTTTGCGCAGCATCTACTGGAATAAGCCACCAGAACACGTCTTTTAAAGAGGTTTTCTTTCATACTCCACAAATACCATGTCGTTAGTTTTCGGTCACTAGGTCACGATCGCTATATTTTACATATCTAACTAAGTAAAACATCATGTGACTTTGGTGACGTATCGGGCCGCTATTTTGTTTTATTTTGTTCCATATGAAATGCATAGGTGCTGCAATATAGTTCAATTTTCTCATAAATGTGACCCGTTTTCTAAATTTTGCAGCTATATCCTAGGTATTTGAACATAATTCTACCTCAAAATGTTGGTCTTGATAGTTTTATATTATAATTTTTTATTGAACTACGTCCCTGGAGATTCGTAAAAATCGTACTTTTTCTAGTCATTTCCCCGTCGACTCAATGGTAAATCTAGCGATCCCATGTCTACATCAAAATCACAAATTCTATAGATAAAAGTAATAATTTACAGCTGTAGGTTGCACATCTGTAAATATAGACAATGAAATTTCCCATAGGAACTCCTTTTCATGTTTTCAACATTTATACGCCTTGAACTTCTAAGAGTTTAAACTTATACTATTATTCTGTACTACCCCTGCCTTCACTTTTTGTCCTTCTCAAAATTCAATTTCGCCGCTATCCATGTGTATTTATACTGGTGTAGGAAAACGGAGTTATGTTCCATGACAAATGTTTAATTAACTTTTCACTAATTACTTAATCCTATGTTCAGTTTTATCTTTGGCATTTAATTTATAATAAGATCGTTTATAATTGAAATCTTTTAGTTATTCAGGAGTAAGTTGTTATAATTTATTAGTAAGTTGTTGTACTTCCAAATTCCTTATCATACCTTAATTTATAAACTTTCACATATATATATTGCGATTGCCGGGTTATGTTTAAATTTGTCTAAAGACGGGTTTCCTGTCTGAAATGGTGAAGCTTTCCACTCTGCTTGTAAGTTAACCTGGTCTGTTCTAAACGCTCAATTTATAGATTGATCCATGTTTATTTAGAGTATATTTAAGAAGTCTAAATTGCTCCTTGATACCTCTCTATTTTGATATTAGTTTACATTGCTAAATTATACTCCCCATTTACTTTTGATACATTTTCGTCTACATTTGTTTATACTACTTTACACTTGTTGAATTTGCTTGCCTTGTTGTATTTTGTTAATAAAAGTTTATTGTTGAAACACCATTAAGTCTCTTTTAGCTCTAGATAGAGTACAAAAAAACATACAGGATAAAAATAGAAGTCTGAATAGAGAACACCTTTAAAAATACAGAGTAAATATATAGAATACAAGTTATCAACAGCATACCGGTTTGAGTTTAGTGAGTTGAGCTATCACTGGGCATTCGTCAAGCTTAAAGTATATCATACATTGAGGCCGTATCATAAGAACCTTGCAAACCTTATCCAATCGAACCTCTCCTATTACATTTTGGTCCCGCGAGGCGGATAAGGTTTTTGCAAATACACAAGGCAACAAATTAGTATTTTGATTTGTATTGAGAATTAAATTTTGATATCAGATAAAATGGATCGATCTAACCCCTTGCATGGTGCATTCAGTCAGGAAGACTATGGATCTGATGAAAAAGATGGTAAAGTACAACAAGTGCAAGAGACACAAAGTAAGTGTTACTTATATGATAGTGATCATTCAGTTATCGCAGATAGTAAACACAAATCTACTCCATATAGGGAAGAATTATTTGGTAGAGCTAGAAAAAACGCATGATCCAGTGGATCTGGAATACAATTAGAATATCCAAAAGCTCGACCTACATATGCTTACATTACTAGTGAATCTGAATCCGAATGTGAACCTCGTTATGGAAGACAAACAAGGTTGAATAAACTTCCTAGGCCTGAATTAAGTGAGATCACAGAAAAAGAGAGCATATATCCGGCTTCGAGTCAATACAAAAAGACACAGTCAATTCAAAAGCCTATGAATTATCTAGAAAGTAGCTTGACAGCTGGTGCGAGACCAAAACATACAATAAAGAATGATACAATTCGTAATACAATGGCACAAACACACGATAATTCAGAGTTCATAAAAC